AATTTTTCCATCTTTCCACATTGGGCTTGTAAAAACGTACAGTTCTTTCTTTGTTATGTGTTTTGTGGTATAGTCCTTTGATCATGATCCGGCACTCTAGCACAAAATGGTCAGAATCGTAGAAAATGTCCTTTCGGCTTTGTGCATCTTTAATCGTTGATCTCCACGCGTCTCCTGCTAACCAATAATCTAATTGAGCATATTTGTGTGCATCGTATGGGGGTCCTATGTCCAAATTGTCTTCTTGCTGTGCACACTTTTCTTTGTATGTCAGTAATTTTTCAGGCGGTTTCCGGAATTGTGTGTTCATTATTTTCAATGCATGAATTTTGCAAAAGCCTAAAAATAGCGCTCTGCTTTCTTTGGTAGTTTCGCTCATTCCATCCAAATACGCCATTCCTCTTCCCAGTATGTGTGGACCGCAAACGTCTTTGTCTACATTGCGGACATAGTGCAACCTGGCATTGAAATCACCACCTACATAATAAGTACCCTTAGTTTGCAGGATCTCATCTGATAATAAATCATAAAAGTTTTCTTTTTCTTCACCGGCATGTGCGCTATGTGGTGCATAGATAGCAAAAAAAGAGATGTCTGAGCCAGAAGCGGCGAAAGTAGCTTTCATCATTCTACCGTTGATCTGTTTAATGTCTTTTAATGAATCTACCAGCGTACCTTTGATAACAATTGCAACACCAGCATTTTCGAAGTCCGGGGCGTTCCGAAAATGTGTGTATGTGGTAGTTCTATCCTTACTTGCCTGTGATTTTTTCTCTTCCTTTCTTTTCATTTCTTTCTCTCTAACTTTAGGATCAATGCTCGAGCTAAAAAAGCAATAATAGCCATCCCAAGCTTCCCAACTGCTTGAGTTAACATTTGTTTCACTCAAAAGCATGATATCATATTTGTTGCGGCGCATAATGTCTGGGATTATCTCTCGCTTCGTGTTTTTGTTTAAACCACGAACGTTTAAGCACGCAGCTCGAATGTAACATCGGTTTGCAAGCTTTTTAGCTTGCGGTGAAGGTCTAGCTGTTGAAATTCTTGCCAATTTTTGTCTATGAAATTTACAAATGTCTTTGAATCTTGTTCTCAACATTTCTTTATTGTTACGGAACCATTTCTTACTTTTAAGCTGAATTTTCCATTTCTGTACTGATGAGAATGTTTTGCGCTTTGAAGAGTTAGAACTTTTGAGGTGCTCCTGTGCTGCCTTGTTGGCTCTTCCCCAGAGTTTTGTTCGTTTGAACCAACGCCATAACGATCTATGGAGTCGCCTTTGGTAGTTACGAGAGCAATAGCTGGAAGTATAATTTCTGGTTTTATTTTGAACAGAACTCTGGGGCTGCTTCGTCTGCCCGATGGGCATTGTCCCGGGGCACCGTCTGGAAGGTGCAGGTTGCTGTTGTGTTGTATTGTTTGTTCCGGTGCAGCAGCTGTTGTTGCCAACCCCTTGTCTTGTGCAAGGGGGGGATTGTTGCCTCCATTGTTGCCTCATGTTTTTAACCGAAAATGCGCGATCTAGTCACTCATTTTTGGGTTCATCGTCATTTGTTCCTTCCTCGGTTCTAGCACCGGCAAACGTGCAAACATATGGAAATCTGCTATAATCGCTAAATCTTGGGTGATCTCGATGTGCAACTCGCCACGCTTCATGCCAGTTTGTTCGTACGACTTCAACGAAGCTCTTCTGGAGAACGATTGCAAGTACACCTTGGTCTTTATCATATGTTGCTTTGGCCACTGCTGATTTTGTGTTCAGGTCAAAGATCTGCTTGTCCGATGGTCTGTGCGAGAGCTGGTCCTTTCCCGCATAGCCTGTCTGCTCACTGGAAGTCAAGATGTGCAAGACCGTGATGAGTGCGAGGTTTATCGTCTGGTCGATTTTCCCCATATAGTTGGTGATGACCAGCTTATGCCATCCACCTTTCCAGTGCTGCATGTAATTGCCATACGAATCCCAGTAATAGAGTGGTTTCTTCGCAGAAAAGCTCGTGTAGGCAAACTTCTCAAACATATGATGCGTATCCTGGTCTTCAAAGGTCAGAATGGTAACTGGCGAAAGAACAAACTTGCGTCCAGAAGTATAATACCCATGCTCCTGCTTGGTCTGCTGTTGTACATGAGCTTGCTGTAACAGCCAATCAGTAACTCTGACTCTGTCGTAATATGTTGCATTCTGCGGCCACGATTTGATTATCATCTTGAGGGTGGTGTACTTGGCCTCACGCTCGAAAACGATCTCATGTGTGAAGTCTGAGAGGCCCCTGAGGTCGTCAATCTCTTCATCGTGTCTGTTTGCAATCTCTGTCAACCTGTCAAGCTGAGCTTGCATATTGTTCTGCTGTCCTTGTACCTGTTCAGTTGATGTTGCTCCCGCAGCTCGCCATTGGTCTAACTCGTGCTTCATCTGCAAGCTGAGGTCCTTCATTTGCTGTATGAGCTCACGCGTCTCCTTGTCAACCTCTCTCTTACTCTTCTTCTCTATGGCTTCTGTGGTAGTGTCCGTCTCCTTTGTTACGCGCTGAGGTGTAGAAGCAATCTCATACAAGGATTTCGATGAGGTTGTAGATCTTTTGCTCCATATTCTGCGCGGATTTATTGTCTTATGCGAGTCCATCTCGACATCGGGTTTGTCCTTCATCTTCTCATCATTTGCTTGCTGATCTTCAAGAGCTTTGTTTAAGATCTCCACGTCATCATCTGACTGATCCCTTGCATCTGTCTTCTCTTTTGCCTTCTTGTCTTTGAGGTGAGGTTTCTTGACTTGTGCCATCTTCTGCTGCTGACCGGGATGAACTAGGGGACTCTCTAATCATTTCGAGCCCAAACCCCTTGCTAACCTTACTAGCTATGCCAATCGGCGGGATTGTAATTGAGATTAATTGAGACTCTCCATCTTGTCTCGAAATTCACTGGCCAGGTATGCAGCCGTGAGGTATAAACAAGCGAGTGCCGGGAGTTGCGTCTCGATTTCGGCTGCGAAGGCGAATAAAATGCGAGGGGTGGGTCAACGCGCACGCTGTAGGGCTGCCTTCTCTCTCAGTGGTCGAGATGACGCGTATGACATCCACCAACACCCCCACAAGGGCCCACAAGCATGTACCTCACAGAACACTCGCAGAGCATGGGGCAGGTAAGGCACAGCTCCCAGCAACCCCCAGTGGGGCACATGATGGTGACATGCCACGCACGTCCGCTCTCCACACAGGAAAAAGCATCACAAAAGAAAATTGGACTTCTTGCGAGCCAAGGCACCCAGGGTTGTGACGATTTCGCGCTGGTCTGGCCCTGGATGACACACGCCTCTCAGCTCACACGCTGCTCCGGCTGCGCGATCATGAATTAGGCAGCTCCTAGCGCCCTGCACCTCCTCCAAGGCATCCCAAACCGAGCCTAAGGGGTGCCTCCATTGGAGGAGGGGAAGGGGGTGGGAGGCGGAATTGTGTAAGGCATGTCTTGTCACAACAACTTTTGAGAACTATGCTGCAAAGTACTGCCATTTAAACAAAGTACATGTTTACAATTTTGGATTGCAGCCCAAGATCCGACACGTCAGCCAAAGAAAGATGGCTCTAACACCTAGAAGGCTAGGGAAAGATCGGTGTTCTTATTCTTCTGGTCATTTGGATTAGTAATATGATTGCTTTTTGTGTAATGATAATACGAATCATTGTCATAACACTAATATACATTGTGAAATATTATAAACAAGAAAATTTATTACAGATAGTCGTATTAGTGTGCTTCTCGTTCTCGTGTGTAATGCTGCTGCTACCTCTGAGGAAAGTACTACCAATCTACTTTTGAGGATAGTACTAACAATAAGGAAACTGAATAATAGCATAGTGAAAATAATGAAAAAAATATTGTTATTATTCGCAATAGTATGGAAATGTGTTTCTCGTTCTCTGTGCTGTCCACATACCCCGCCCCCCCCCCCCCCCCCCCCCCAATGCTGCTGCTACTTCTGGGGGCTGCTCGCCGTTATCAGATTGTGGACCCCCCCCTCCCACTGTCACTAAATTGGTCCCGGGAATTGGTCGGACCAATAGTAACACCCCCCCCCCCCCCCAAGACCAATTATAAGGGGGGGACCATGTTTAAGATCTAGAGCCCTGGTCTAAGTGTTCAGGGTTGAGGGTTCAACCATTGCAATGAAGGGCTTCACGCGTCGAATTCACAGTTCAGCTTTGGCGGTCTGGCTTCCGGGCTTTGTGTCAAACATCTTCCAGAAGTGACATCACGTCCCATAGCTTCCGCAAAACTAGAGCTGCGAGACAACTCTCCCACTACCACTGCCACTACCCCTCCGCCACCACGAACACTACTCCATCACTCCGACTACAACCAGCACCAGCACCGGCAGCAGCACCAGCACTACGACTACAACTACCACTCTCCTTGAAGAACACAGCGCTTGGCATCTGCATATGAATGAGGCACCAACCTCCGAGGGTCAATGAGGAAGGCCATGGCCAGTCTCCATGACTTATGCCTCGGAAACAGCATGCACCTAGGTGATGCAAAAGTGATTTGGATCGTTGGCAATTCGTGGGGACCGGCCTGCCAGAGTCTGCCAAAACACTGCGCGCCCACCTCAATCACAAGATATGACAAGTTGCAGGACAGGCATGACAGGCATGAAAAAGCCAAGCGCAAAACGCTGCAACATGCCTGGATGCCTTGGAGGCATGCGGCCAAGCGCAGGGACACCCAGCCTTGAGCGCGATAACTCAAGGGCACTCCATCAACGTTTTGCATCCCCACGCACCTGGAATGCCTTTCACGCCTAGTCTCCTGGCACGCGTTTGCACTGCATTGTCATGCTCCTGTTCCGAGGACGTCAGTCCTTGCGAAGTCATCGGCAAAATGACAGCAATTGAAGGTGAGCAGGTCGTACTCGCGTCGGTCGTATGCCTGGGGGCAACATTTAGGTCGAAACGCACGCTCATCCGAGGTCATGCTTTCTTTCCGCCTCCAACATCTGCCCAATGATCTCAGCGACCTCTTCCTTGAGCAAACTGCTGACCAGTAACGAAAATGATCATGACTAGCAGCCATGAAGGCATGGCTTTGCAGTACACTTGCAGAACAGTTGCCGGGCTCCGGTCTGTGCAGCCCAGATCGACCTTTGATGGCAAAACACCCCAAAACATTTAACAATTTACGACGCAAGTCTCGGGCGGTTTGGCGGTAGTGATGGCCGGGGCATTGCTTGGGCTCTACGCAAGCGATGCCTGGTGTCGACCTGCTCTGCAGGTGTGAGCGGCCAAGATTTGAGATGGGCACAGTTCCCTATCGCCCACCAGCTATCGGTACCGCCGTAGCACCATTCCAGGCCATCGACCTCCAACAGTCAGCTTTCAATCAGGCAAGCGGGGGCTAAAGCAGCGGATCCTCCACTCCACAGTGGAATGCGCCCCCCACCGGGAGGCACCGTGGCGCGAAGACCTAGTTTGAAAAGGAATGCAGGATCCGATGAAAACTGAAAGTATGTGAGGGAAGGCCTCATTTAACATCCGCAATGCCGCCACCTACAGGAAATTCCAGCGGTGCTGCACATGCGTAGTGGTAATCAGTAACCTGATAACCTGATACCTACGCACTCTTGCTACTATGACTGACAGCTGTCTGTCTGCCTGGCCGAGGTCATAGATATGGAGCAACACACGCCGCTTGGGCAAGAACTCCTGCAATCAGAAAAGCGAAAAGAGCCGGCAGGTCCTGCAATGCCCAGCAACCTCCGCTTCCGTCTGCGCCGTGCACGTTTTGCCGATCTCCGCACGCAACTGGTGCAGCTGGTCCGGCTGGGCAACCTTCTCACCGCCCTGCAGAAGGTAGCTTCTGTGCTGGCTCACTGTGCTGGCTTCTCTACGGCGACGCTGGAAAGCTCAAGATGTTGGCACAATGATTTCAAATTGCCGGGTTGCCAAGGGGGCAAGAGCTACGGGTTTCCTGCCCGGCTTCTCCTTTTTTCCCTTATTGCAAGCGCTCCTTGCAGCTTTTCCGCGTTCCTGCCTATGTTGGACGTTGTACAGCCTTCCTCCCCTCTTTGTCTTCTTTTTCTCTGCCTACTGATCGCTCATTCTTGTTGATTGCACACCTAGCAAAAACCAGATCGCGCTTTAGCGTGAGGTTTTGACCCACAACAACTCGTCGTCGATTATCGCCAAGGTGGATGTCCTGCCATAGGTTTGGGGGTGAAGTTTTCACATCTTTGACAGGGCTTGTGGAAACGAGTTGCGGATTTAGCCAAGGTCTACAATGTAAGCAGCACAGGGGAGTTGTTCAGCGCAGGAGTGAATGAGCTCACTGTTGAGAAAGTCTACCTACATTCTTGAGCTAATTCAAGCAAGGTGTTCGTCTTAGCCATAATCATGCCCACCGTGATGAACCAGTCATGTAATGATGCTCATCTCCCCGTAAGTGGAGTCTGTTGGAACTTGTCTGCTCCACAATTCATGTCTTCTACAGCCAGGGAACGTTTGCCAAAACACCTCTTTCTTTCCCTTTGTAAACATGTAGGCTGTACATGAACGGCCCAAAACCAAGCCCAGGTTCAAGAACTCCGTGCCACGTGTAGATCAGCGAACCACGCCGCCGGCAGGTAAGCTGGAGTTTCCGGCAAGCGAAAAAGGCGATGCCAGGCCCAGCAAACACAAAACGGGTTTTCCGGTTCGGTGCTTTATCAACCCGGAGCCCCCTTAAAGCTGTCTTCGAAGTTGAGGCTCATCATTCATGAGTGTCGCGTACCGTCCCTGCACCGAATGCCCAAGAAAGCCTTGCGACTGCAAGACTGTTGCGGAAGATGAGCCAGCGAAGGTCTGTCACTTCTTGCTGTCTGCCCCGACACGCCGAAAAATGCGCCATTGGTTTCTTGCCTCAAAACTTGCCACTCAGACGATGGCTTTGAGGCAAAAGCTTGGAGGCAAGATAAAACTTCAGAGTCCTCGCTGGTGTGTCATTGTCTTGCAGTAGTGCGTGCAAGAAATTGTCTCAAGCTACCGGCGGGTATTGATTGCGAAACATCTTTAGGGGCCGTTGCTACCTCCGGCCGGAAACACAATGCACCCGGAGGGCAAATGATGCACACAAGAATCGAGGCAAGCAGAAGCACTCAGCCTTTTTGGCAGCCCACAAAACTCGACATGTGCAGGCGAGCCTTGTGCGTTCTGACGTTCCCAACCCGCGGCAAAGGCTTGATGAGGTCAATATCCTGGGCATGATGTGCTGGAACAATTCTGCAAGCCACTTCATGCTGCACAGGCAGACCCGAGTCCTCAAACTTGAGCCGTATCCAATCCAGTTTCAAGTCGCGCGCGCCCTGGCGTCGCGAACAATTGAACGGTCTTGCCATTCCCCCAACCATGTTTTAACGCAAGGCGCCCGCGAGCGCCGCCGTCCATCTCGGCCGTCATGGCTGTAGACGTGCACGGGCCTGAGCAGCTGGCAGCGCTTGGCACATGTGTTCAGACGCCTTCTTTGAAAGGCCGTGGCTGGAGCACCACACATCCATCTTGCAGTCGGCAACAGCCCTGCCGCGCGTGTTAGTGACCGCACTGGACGAGCGGACAGGCAACTAAAACATGCTGTTGGCTAAGCAACAAAAACCTGCGAATCGATGCAGCGGACAACGACTCATGCTTTGGCATCCAGCCTCATATCGGAAGCCATTCTTCATGACCAGAACATTTCCCACACTTTGATGGCCCATGGCTACCGTTGCTGCTTTTGTTCGGTCAAGTCAACCATGCCAATGGACATGAAGCATGTAGACATGTGCAAGCATCTTAATCAAAAGCTTCACTTGCTTGTTTTTCTTTGTGACGCACACGAGTCACACGAGCATTCGTAGAAAACCTGCAGCAATCTCCGCTTCGTCACGTGGGCCAAGCTTCTGTGCTGCGTCATTAACACTTGTCTGGCATCCGCCCTGGACGAGCGTCCGCAATTAAGTGATACTGAACAACCCTTGCAAATGCGCTTTTTTCGAGTTCTGGCTAAGGTCTTTCAGCGCGCTCCGCCTCGGACAGTCTCATAGAGCGCATCCCAACGTGTTTGTTGCTTGTTTCTGTGAAACAGGCACACTGAACAAGAGGTCACAATCCAGCTGCAAGCAGAGGATGCGAGCAAGCAGCTAAGCGTTAGCACGACACCCTGAACGACAACGTTTAACCCGTGGTGCTATATAGCACGGAGACAGCTACCCGTACGACGCTCTGGCCCTCTGCCACCATTGGGCCGGGGCTTGTTGTCAGCTAGCACTGCAGAATGAAAACATAGTTGGCAACGTAGACTATACAAGGTGTAGCTGTATGAACAAGCTAGTCTGTGGTAAATCACAGTTTCCTTTTGCGCTTGAGGCTTGAAGATTCAAGGTCGGGACTTGGCCTAAGCAAAAAACACCGTTCTTAGCAAGCCCCAGGCCTCAAACATGTATCAACGCTATTGTCCCTAGACCACGACCCATCTTCGCAACTGGATTCTTGAGTCCCAGAATCTAGACCCCAAGCAACAAGAAATGTCTTGCCTTTAACAGCACAACTGAGCGAGGAGCTTCCCAGCCACCAGCTCTTCACCGCCTGCCCACGTGCCGGACTGAAGTGGAATCGGCGCCAGAACTGGCAACCAATTCTGTCAGTGTATCTCCACAACCATGAACACTGCTCACAAATGTGCGCAGCGATTCCGAATCTAATTTTGAAAGAAGTAGCGCAGGCAATCAGGCCATTCTTTCAGATGCTTTCTGTGGTCTGAAACAACTGATGGAGTCATTCAAGCTCGATGCTTTTCGAAATGTCATCGTCTACCGAAGCGCTCCAGAGCATGCACGGGTTGCTTGCAATGGGGCCTGCGTTTTTTGCTGATCAGGCAGTCCTGTCCTATGTGCTCGATGCGATGGCTCAAAAAGGGTGGTTCTGGATTAAGGGTGCTTTTAAGGAAACTCGATTTTTCAGAAAAATATTCAGTTTTTGACATTTTGAGAACGTCCAGGTATCGTGTGTTCCCGTTGCGTCCCTGAGAAAATGTGAGGAGCAAGTGTGATTTAGAAATAAAATGAAACACTAAGCCACTATTACTCAGCGACTACATACCGATTAATTTAGATTTTGGGCGTACCGTATTTCTGCCAGAACACCTGAACCAAACCATCTGCGGGAGTCGAAAATGACATGAACCGCTCGGTTTATGGGTTTCGTTTTTAAGGAATTAGGGTCGGATTAACGTTTTTCCCATGGTGGTTTACGAATTTGGGGGCTCATGGTTTTGAGGGGGTTAAGGGTTTTCAGGGTTTAGGAATCAGGGCGTTTTGGGGTTAGGGTTTCGGCTGTTCCGGTTAATGGTTTAAACTCTTTAAGGTTTAGATTTCACCGTTTAAGGTTGTTTTGAAGTTTTCATGGTTTTCAGTTTAGTGCTTTTGGGCGCTCAGGGCGTCTGAAAATTTACGGTGTAAAGCATTGTAGGATTTTGGGTTCTAAGGTATCCAGGTTTAGGGCGGAGGGTTTAGTTCTTGGGGGATTTGGTGTTACGAGCGGTTAAGTGCTGAGGCTGTGAGTGTCTTAACGGTTTAAAGTTCAGCACGTTTTAAGGTTTGGGGCTTCAGGCGTTTCACGGATCAGGGTTTTGTGTGGTTCAGGGTTCCGGGCTCTTTAGACCTTAGGGTTTCTTAAGGTTTGGGATTTAGGGTGCTCTAGGGTTGAAGGCTTAGGGAATTTAGGATCTACAGCGCGGGGTCCGTTTTGCGGAACTTTGTGCCTCTGTGTGGGCTAGGGGTTACGGTTCAGGTTTTAAATGTTTAAGTTGTCTTGGTTTAGGGCTAAGGTTTGTTTAGGGTTTAGGGTTGAGGGCTTAGGGTTTTGCAGGGCTTGCGGTTTTGTAGGATGTGAAATGTATGGTTTTCAGGGTTGACCGGTGTTAAGGTTTCGCCAGGTTTAGGGCTTAGGATTTCGCAGGCTTTAAGGTTTTGATGCTTGAAGATTCAAGCAGTTTTCGGGTTTAGGGTTTCGGGATATCTAGGGCTCTAGGGTTTACAGTAGGTGTAGTGAAAGGGATTTTTGCTCTTGTTTGATGGTTTAGGGTGCTCTAGGGTCTAAAAATCCTTTTGGTGTACTGCCTAGGAAAAAAGTGTTTCACGGTTTTGGTTTTTGGGGTGTAGAGCAGACTTATGACAAGGACAATGATGCACCACTGGCTTATTGACCTGCTTCACATGTTTTTTTAATCAAATTCTCCAAGCGAAATCCGAAAACCCAGGCCCCAGAAACCTTACTTGGGCGAGACAAGAGCACCCCCGAAGCTCCCAAAACCACACGTTCAGGCCGAGATGTGCACTGGCGGGAGCATGATTCTGGCCAAAACGCGCGCTGGACTGACTGTGGCGGGACCACGTTTTTTCCAGAAAGAAAACCTGGCTGTGGCAAAAGCACGACTTCCCACAATGTGCACAGACGTGAAAATTACTTTTGGAATCTGGTACCACTCCGAAGCCTTCCCTTCAGAAACGTCCTTGAAAGTGAACCCCGTCATTGGTGATAACCTAAATGCGCCGTTTCTGTGGACCGGTTGCGGTTTCCTTGAGGCGCCACCTGTCATCTGCGACAAAACGTTCCAAAACGCAGGGAGTCACGAACGACAGGAGCGTCCCGCGGTCAAAAGGCCTAGAATTTCCACCGTGCTTGGCGCCGTGCCGGCCTTGACACAGCAGGCGCAGATCGTTGTCTTCCTGCAAAAAAAGCTAAACGGAACAATAAGCAATTGTCGCAGGCCCGTCTGAACGCAAGCTGGCCTTCTCTCGCCTTCAATGAGCGCTTGCTCCTCCACAACAAATGCCCGGAAGAACACAACGCAACCCCTGAGCTCCATCAGCCCTACTTGAAGGCCTCGATGTTCTCATCTGTCCACGCCTCCAGGCCTGACCATTTCGAAACGCGGAGCGCCGAAGTCTGAAGGTTCGTAAGCGCACAATGAGATCCCAGCACGTCAAGCAGAGCATCCAGCCCTGATGGATGAGACAGGCGGTCATACTGCACGCTCGACACACACAGCGCGCCAGCCTCTGACGTTGTTTGGGCTTCATTTTGGCCACACCATTCGCAGCAAACCTACAAGGAACCAGTGGACCCAGGCGGAAGGCACAAAGCTGAAACCGTTGCGCCGGCCTGACTAGCTTAGAGCAACACTGACTGAACAACACTACAAGGGATGCCACAATGGTATGGATTTTTTGGTTTCCTTCTATTCTGAACCTATGCATTCCGCTCTATGTGAGCTTCCACGTCATCCAGAACTCCAAATGCCTGTGGGATGCGTTTCTACTGCTGGTAGGAGATCAGGACAACTGCAAAACATTGACAACCTTTCCCTGCATCTAAACGCAGCCAGCACCGACTTCCTGAAAATGTGAATTGCCAGCTACTTCGAGCAAATCTACAGAGAGTCTCTGATTCTAGTCACAAGTCTGTTATGCTTCGTCGATGATATCATGCGCACATCAGACTCGACTAACGCGCATTAGCTGAACGCTTTTTCATGGCCAGACCACTCGCGGAAACTTCCATAAAAGGTCTTCGCTTGGCCACTAAACCAAATTCAGGAGAGTCGAAAAAGTGAGGGTCAGAGCTAAGGATACGAAAACACACGCAGGCACAGCCTGGTCAAAAAAACGAAGACAACCCCGCAACAAATCTCTGGAGCCTGGCCTTCTCGGCCAAGGGCTCCTCACCACCCTGTGCCAAAGAAACTCACAACCTCTTACTTCATGAAACCGGGAGTCTTCGGAGAAAACGTACCTTTGGCGAAGTCCCTGCGCCTGTTGCTCCACCTTCCAGACCTTGGATGGTTGTCTGCACTCATGCCTTCTGCCACGATTTCCTCCCGAGGGCTCGACGTTGGCCGATCGTCTCTGGGGCCACTGCTGCCTGAAGCCGTGTTCCCAGTTGCTTCTGCCGTAGCTACTTTCGCAAACTATAGGAAGGTCTCCGGATGCAGTCATGCCTTTGGGTGCTCTGAATGTTTTACGTCGCTTTTGGGGAGCTGAAGATAAGAAGAACTCATTTTGGCCACTTCGTGTTTGGACAATGGCATTGTTCGCTTTGGTCTGTTGATGTTCTGAAACTCAGCTTGGGCTTCAACAGTGATACGGTTTCTTCGGCGTTTGGAGCTACGCGTAAGCGGCCATGAAAACGAAAATCGAACACCATATCGTGCATAGCAAAGAGCCTTGAGTGGATGGTACAGGTCTTGCACGCGTAGACTTCATCGCGTGGGATTGTCGGTCAATTGTGGAACGGCCTTCCGGCTCCAGTGTTGCACGACCTACAAGTAGCTTCCACGTCATCCAGAACTCGAAATGCCTGTGGGATGCGTTTCTACTGCTGGTAGGAGATCCGGACAACTGCAAAACATTGACAACCTTTCCCTGCATCTAAACGCAGCCAGCACCGACTTCCTGAAAGTGTGAATTGCCAGCTACTTAGCGCAAATCTACAGAGAGTGTCTGATTCTAGTCACAAGTCTGCAATGCTTCGTCGATGATCTCATGCGCACATCAGACTCGACTAGCGCGTAGCAGCTGGACGCTTTTTCATGGCCAGACCACTCGCGGAAACTTCCATAAAAGGTCTTCGCTTGGCCACTAAACCAAATTCAGGAGATTCGAAAAGTTGAGGGTCAGAGCTAAGGATACGAAAACACATGCCGGCACAGCTTGGTCAAAAAAACGAAGACAACCGCGCAACAAATCTCTGGAGCCCGGCCATCTCGGTCGAAGACTCGAACCCAGGTAGCACGTCTTGCAAGATCACGTCCAACGGCACTCCCTCACAGTAGTTAGCCAAGTTGTGGATTTGCAAGGCGCAGGGGAGTCTGTGATGCACTGTTGAGTTCTTCATGGGACTCGTTTGAAACATGCACCTCATGTATCTCCCCACTCTGCTCAGGCCTCCAAGGCTGCAAGGGTGCGCCATTTTTCCATGTCGCTTACACGCAAATCTCGCCAACCTGGAAGAGCACATGTCAATCAAGAGCCAGTTGGATAGGCGCGAGTGCTGACTCACTGAAGCAGCCAGGGGCCGTGGGTCGCGTAAAGCGCTCCATTGTAGCAAGCAGAACGAAAGCCAAACAACAAGCAAGTGACGTATGCTTCTCAACTTCAAGCTCCTTCAACGCACTCAAGGCAATCACTTTAAACAGGTGTCACGCAGCTCACTTCTACACCGCAGCTTCAATTCGGTTCGACTTGTCAACAACTTGTGTCCCCTACCTTGCCGAAAGCTGTTTAGCTACATGCATTCATGAGGGTTCAATTCGGTACTCTATACAGGAACGCAGACAGGCGAATCACCAGCAGGGCATGGCTTTGCAGGTGAAGGGCTTGCTCGCCGCCACTCCTTTCAGGGTTCACGGCTTTGCAGGTGAAGGCCTTGCTAGCCACCACTCTTTTCAAGGTTCACGGATTTGCAGACGAGGGCTTTGCTTGTGAGCCACCACGCCTTTCGCTTTGCAGGTGAAGGACTTGCTAGCCATCACTCCTTTCAGGCCAGAACTCCTCTCAAAGTTTTGCTAGCCAGCACTCCTTTCCAGGTTAGCGGCATTGCGCGTGAAAGCTTTGCTAGCCACCACTCATTTCAGGGTCCACGGCTTTGCAGGTGAATTCCTTGCTAGCTTTCAAGGTTAGCGGCATTGCAAGTGAAAGCTTCGCTAGCCACCACTTCTTTCAGAGACCACGGCTTTGCAGGTGAAAGCATTGCTAACCACCACTCCTTTCAGGGTCCACGGCTTCGCGCTTGAAAGCCTTGCTAGCCGCCACTCCTTTGAGGGCTAACGTCTTTGCAGGTGAAGGCCCTACTAGACACCACTCCTTTCAGGGTTAACGGCTTTGCAGGCGAAGGCTTTGCTAGCCACCACTCCTTTCAGGGTTGACAGCTGTGCAGGTAAAAGCTTCGCTGGCCAGCACTTTTCTCACTCACGGCTTGCGTGCTAACCACCACCCCTTTCACGATCACGGTTTGCAAATGCTCTGTGTGGCAAAGCTTGCAAGTCCAAGGGCTGCCCCCAGCACTCCCTTCACTGTATACGCAGTGTACCTCTTGGGAACGTTGTTTGCAACGAACCGGGTCGTGTTGAAGCTCCTTTCAGGCTCAGATATGGGCAGACTTCGCCAACCTTTGCGACCCTTTCGTCTTGGGCTTTAGGCTTCAGGGTTTTCCTTTGGGATGAAAGAGTGCTGTCTGCGCGAGTTTGGGCTAGAGTCGCTCTCTCTCTCTCTCTCCCCCGCTCGGCCGGCCTTCCCCTCCCCCCCCCCCCCCCCTTTTTGGAGCGCGACTTTGTCAAGCTTGTCCAACTTTCGGGCCCTGAGGGGGCTCTCAACGGATGTCTCAGGAGTCTCCGGCTCAAGCCAGCTTTGGAGGCACCTCCAGAAGCGACACGCAAGCGCCACACATGGTGTCTGCAGGGGGCGGGAGGGGGGGGGGGGCGTGAACGTTGAGGTATGCCATGGGGCCACGGGAAATTACTGAGTGTGAGCGCGCTTATATCAACTAAACTGACTGCAAAGGAAAAGGACCTTGTTCCCGGGCCCCGCACTTCGAACAGCCCCTGTGTGCTTGTGGGGGGAAGGTCTCAGCCTGACAGGCAGACACTGCGAAGCAAAGCACTTCAGGTGTTTACCCGGTTGTGGCAGCCAGCAACCTTGCAGAGTCCCAATGGCGTTCATGGTTTCGTGGCGCTACCAACACCCTAAAGTTTCCGACAGCTCCAAGCCGGGAGGGGGGGTGCGGGGTAGTCGGGGGGGGGGGGGGGTGGGGGGGACTTCCCAACCCCCAGTATTTCCCGAAGGCCCGGAAATTGGGGAAAAAGGGAGAGAGCTCTGTGCCTTGTAGCTACCACCGAGAACTTCGCAACAGCCTGAGATCAAGTGCTGTCCCCTTGGGGGGGGGGGGGGGGGGGGGGGGGCGCTTCATCGGCCCTTGCGTGCGTTCAGTCCCGCTGTCATTCCTGCCCTCCCCTACTGTCAAGTCATGGTGCGTATGACTTTCAAGACCTTGTGCGGACCTTCGGGTGCGCTTGTTCTGGCAAATTTCTTCATCTTCGGGTTCAGCGGCTACCAGAAGAAGCAAGGCGAGGGCTTTTGGACGGCGCATAGTCTGCTCAACGAGTACGGCTGTAGGAATGCCCGGGACCAGCTCATGCACGAACGGTCATGGCCTGCCATGGACTTCGCGGAGGTGAGCTCGCGGCTGATGGTCTTCAGGCTGCTGGCCTTCACGGGGAAAATCAGGGGAACATCAAAAGAGTGACAGGCCGGTGTCCGTTCCGTGCCTGGAAAGTGGCACAAGCACGCCCGTGCCAGCTACAGAACGAAGGACCCACTTCCTGAGCGTGCTGAGGTGCTTTTGCACAACTAAAGTTGGGTGCTTCTGCGGTGCTTGTGATCAGCCAAGCTGTGCGGCTGGGGAGCTGGCATGGGTCGCGGACGCTTCTGACTGAGCCTCTGCAAAGTCACATTGCAGAAAGGGAGATGACACCGATGGCACAGCAGGATTACCCCCCCCCAGCATTTGCAAGTGCCTTTCGGCCTGGGCGTCGGGCATAGGAGCGGATCATCTCCTCGAAGCCGGGTGCTTCGACGCCTCCGAAGGCGCTTTAGCACCAAAGATGCTTGGAGGGCTTTGAGGGGATTCGGAGCGCTTAGAATCCTGGCGGATCTATCATTTGGCCCTCGCTTAGGGGGAGCCTGCACAGCCAATTTGGTTCAACGTTCCACCTCCTCCGTGCAGGTGGGATCCCACAAGCCAAACCTCCGCATCGGCTCACCAACTGCATCAATACACCAATACACCAATACGGACTGCTTACACACGCTCTTGGGCGAAGAATGCGAAACTCTCGATGCTGAACCTCACGCCGCAGTGGATGCTCAGCTCAGTTCGTGATTGACCGAATACAGATCGCGGACGTTCATGGTTTGGGCGTTTGGCTGCTCTATGGGTGCTGTTTGGGGGTGCTTCCGTGGGCCTTTGGGCTGGCTGGGCCTCCGGCATCACGAGGCCTCGCGCAATGTCCGTGTCCATGAAGGGGATCTCATCCCTGTCAGGGAATGCCAGCTGACCCCTTCCCATCGAACAAAATCCTGGTTGCCTGACTAGGCTCCTTGAGCTGGATAAGATCCTCCTGATTCTGACAGGCAAGGCAGCTGGCAAAAGCAAGCAAGAAAGCTCGCAGTCGTCCTGTCCCACTCAGCTATGGGGCACAATGCGGGTGTTGAGGAACAACCTCTTGGCGCTGTAAATGATGGCTGAAACACACACCAGGCTGGGAATGAAACATGGAATATCATGGAACAAGTGGCAGACTGGAAAGGATGCGGAGAGATGAAGACCTCAAACTTTTCACGAGCTTGCACATGCTCGCTTGTGATGCCACCTTCACCGCCTTCTGTCGAGACTCAGAGAAGCGAAATTCGGGCTCAGAGTAGCTGAGACCGGCACAGTCGAGAATCGGGGCGGGGGCTCGAAAAAAACACTTCTAAAACTCTTGAAGTCATGCTACTCTGGTCGACCAATCGCCGACTCCAAATCGATCTCGCGAACCTGACGTTGCTTTGTCGTTCCAATGCTTGAGTGGGAGACCTGCCTTGCACACGGCCGGGCCAGTACCGAAGTGCCTCTTCGTCGTACCAGTCGGGGTGTTTGTATGCCTTGCAATTGCAATCCCCAAGCACTCAAGGTGCATGAAGACAGTGTCTGTGTGCGTGTGTGTGTGTGTGTGTGTGTGTGCGCGCGTGTGTGTGCGCGGGTGTGTGTGTGTGTGTGTGTGTGTGTGTGTGTGTGTGTGTGTTTGTTTCAGGCCGGAACGCACCTTGGCTCCAAGCCGAAACGCACGTGCACGATGGGCGGCACCTTGGTCCAGGATTGAAACGCTTTTGCGCGTCTTTAGTCATGTGGCATCCTAGGCCCTGCAAGTTTCGGGCCCCGTCCACATCGGCCATGGGGCGCGTGCCCGCATCATGATGAATCTTGGCAATTCCAAATCAATTGCTTGAACTGGCAGCTGTGTCTAAGGCTGCTAAATGTTGTTGGCACGGCTTAATGCTGAGCAGCCATCACAAATGACCACGGTCCGAGCCAGGCATGCAGTGCCAACTCGCGAAAGCCCACCCCACCCAACCGGCTGGTTATCGGCTGCGCTTCAGGGAATGGCAGCACAGCCGCGTGCATCTACATCTGTTTATCCAGGCAACGCTAAATCTGCACACGTTTTCTAATGCACAGGCACAACGTCACTGTCGGAGGTCCCTGTACACGCTTTTTGGGCGTGGCGCTGCGCTGCTATGATGTGGCGCAAGACTGCAAGACAGCTGCTCAGACATCAACTTCAGATGGGAAACAGTCATGCTGAAGGACATCCCGCAAGCCACCTGCCAGGTACACAAAGTCAGAGACCTCGTTGTAAACTTGCGCGCTGACCCGGACGAAGCATTGCCCTTGCCACGAGTAGAACGGCACAAAGGTCCGGTGTTTCAGAAGGACTTTTTGCGCGGTCTTCATGTCACAACAGTTCATGGCCAGCTGTGGAAGCGGCACGTTTACCATAGCGAGGCCTCCGGTCGGCATGGGCTCAGTGCCCAAGGCCTCGGCCAGCCGCTGGCCTCCCTCAACAGCCAAGGTGGACACGTAGTTCAGAATCCGAGCATCTCCTCCCAGAGTGTCTCGAAACTCCAAAGCTGCAGACATTGCCAGAAAGGCGCTGTAGTCTTTGGTGCCGGTGTAAGAAAACTGCAGTTGGAAGAAGCTCAAGCCCCTGCCCTCGTCGCTGATCACGTTGGGGTGAATCAAGTGCTGCTTGTCCCTTGCAACCCACAGGATTGCACTTCCTTTCGGACTGTAAAGCCATTTGTGCCCATTGGCCACGTAAAAATCTGCACCAATCTTTGGAATGTCCAAGGGGATTTGCCCCAAAGCATGTGCCCCATCGATCAAAACCATGACGCCTTTTTGATGGCAAATCTGCACCAGCTCTTCCACAGGCAGGATGATTGCAGGAACACTTGTAATATGACTGAAGCTGGCTAGCTCTACGGACGGATAACCGTCCAACGCAGTCTGGACCGCTTCCAGGATTTGACTTTTGCTGCTTGGAACTGAAATATTTACTTGCACGGAAGGCGCCTGCCGCTCGCCATTGACATATGAGATCGTGTTCTTGACCATCTGATAAGCAGTGTTCAAGTACAGAATAGATGATTGAGGTGGAAGCTTGATGGAGCGCAAGACAGCATTCACACCGGCAGACGCACCGTCGACGAAGACCACATCTCTCGCATCTGCCTTCACATACTCGGCTACTCGAGCACGTGCCAAGTCAGCGGCTCCAATGAGCGTTCCTGGCCCTTGGGTGTTGATTGTGCGAATATGCTTGCACGCCTGTGTGCATGTATGCGTGGGTGCGCATCTGCGTCCGACACTTTGCAAAACACATGAGAGCAGAGCACGCAGGGCCATGTGTTGTAGAACCTACTTCGACGTGCTTCTGTTTAAGACCCCTGTCTTGAAGCCTAGACTCTATGCGCTTCCTCAACTAAGAGCCGAACCGTCGAATCGAAACCACTGATCTGGATTGCGCTCCATGACGTCTTGCCAGTCCCTCTCAGCCTGCAAAACAGGAAGCGGAGTCGCTCCGTATGATCCATGGTTGAGATTCGTGTAGTTCCTCTCCTTAGCTCAGAAGACAAAAGAGCCGCAAATGCTTGCTTGAATCCATGGAGCCGAACACCGAAAATCAACTAGAATCACTTCAGTTGCCCAAACTGTTTAAACTCTGGCTTTTTCTGTCCCCGCCGAACTTGACTCGTGATCGCTTGTGCTCAGCTTTTTTTACCCTTCCAAGTGTAGCTTTCATCCCGCGGACCCGCTGACGTGGTATGCATGATCGGCGAGGCAGGGCCAAGACGGGAGAGTCTTGTGTTGGTGATAGCACGACAAGAAGACATGGTGACAGCTAAGACATTGAGAGCTGAAGAAAGACGAGGGGGCAGATCCACGAGATGAAGCGGATGCTGAAAGCGCAGCCTGTAGGACGGATTGCTTCAAAGCCTCAATCCAAGGCGCGCAATACTCAGACTAAGGCTCCCGGGATGCAAAGCACGTGATTTTCTCGTGTGTCTGCTGAGCAAAAACGGGCGTCAATAGACATTTTGCTCTTCTTGATGCTTTGTCCCCGTTTCATATGAGCTTATCTTCGCGACCTATTCCTGAGAACCTCAAGGTTGAGGCTTGATGCAGCGGCGTTGCAGAACGCCAAACAATAGACAACAGAAAACAATCGATACGACCTATCAGCAAGACTCCACAAAAAAAGAAGCCTCTTTCAACAGCGCCGCTCCACACCATCCGTTCCCGTTGGAGCCATCGACGTGCAGGGCCGCCACGATGTATAAAGGATGGAAAACATGCTGAAGGCCAACCCAGCTTCAAGAGCAAACAACGGTAGCAAAGAATGGCCAAGTGCTGCCGGGCGCGCAAGGAGGCTCCTGAGCAAGCAACAAAGGATGTCAATGTGGAAACTAAAGGTTCCAAAATCTCGTCCTCTCCTATGATTGTGAGCTTGGACTGAAGGAATCAGAAACATTGGCTTGCAGCCCAAGATCCGACATGTCAGCCAGAGACAGATTGCTCTAACACCTAGAAAGCGGAAAAACATGCCGAAACTAGTTTTGTTGGTTCTAAGATCATTCGAGGCTGATCGCAGCGGCAAGAAAGAACCTCAGCACTTCAGAAAACCGCATACGTCTTAAGTCACGTTCACAAACTGTCCTGGCTGTCTTGCTGCTTCAGACCTGAAAAGGGTCAAGACGAGACACTCTCTTCCCCTCCCTTCTCTCTCTTCCCGCCCACTTTTTGTTTGCTGAAATCTGCTTGCTGCGATGGACCCCTAAAAGCATACGTTTAATGGCCGTCACAATTCCATGAAACGAAATGACCTTCCGAATCGATACTCACAAAAACCAGCCCAAAGCGTCAGCACTTTAAAGCAATGGCCAAGTAGTCGAAGTAGTCGGCAGATGTCGGCAGCTCGCACAGTGTAGTAGGGCGCATGGATCTGTTTGGTACCGAAACGCTGGTGACTGACGGTGCTTTTCTTGCTATCGTAGGCCTGCGCTCAGCATGCTCAGCACAACAGCTGCACACGAGCGAATGCCGCTGTCGGGCGGCTTGCAGCCTGCTTCGCCAGCCTCGCCAGGAAGTTTGCGTTGGGAGTTGTCACTGAGTTGTCAAGATTTGGAAGTAGTTTGTGTATGTGCTGTGCAAACTCCGATTGTTGCTGCGTAAAGATTTTTGGAAGGCTTGTTGCAAGCCAGGCTGCTTTGTTACAAGCTCTTGTCACGGCCCGGGGTCTGCTACAGAATTGCTATCAGAACTGTGAAGGGCCGTGGCTTCGAAACAAGCCGAACGCCGCATGGGCACTCTTCGGCGTGTCTTTCCGATTAGGACATGAATTTCCGACAATGCCATGCTTTGAACCAGCCACTCCAAACCGAGTAGCAGGGAGCTGCATACGTCGGCCAAGTCCTGCTAAAGGCAATGTGGCTGGGACTTTGTGATCACAATGCTAGCCAATTTCCAAATGCTCGATGACAGGCTGATGACAGGGTTGCATGCAGACTTGTGGAGCGTCTTCAAGTTGGTCTGTGAGACTGTTGCTGGCTACGGCCTGGCCACAAAGTATCTGTTGAGATGGCGCGTTCCAAAAAAACCCTGACTGAGCCGTACTTCTTGGAACACTGAACGTTTTGCTACCCGGGCCCAACATGACATCCCTCAGTCTGCAACCCTGGTCACGTTGCGTCCTTCGAGAGGCACAGCGGACTGGGCGCGGCGGTGGTGATCCTGGATTTCATCCGATGAACGTTTCGCTAACATTCCCTCCCCTCTCTGCGCACGTGTGCAGACAAGCGGCTTCCGAAAGAGGTCATACTCATCACAGGCCTCGCAGCAAATGTGTGGGGAGGCTCAACATTGATATATCAATTCGGACACGTGCTGGACATGCTTGAATGGTTTGTGCGCGTACCGCGCTTCAGTGTTTCAGTCGTCATTGTCATCGTCATCGCATCATCAGCTCTCCTGCTTTTATCACCGCGGCTATGCCTGCTATTGCTGCTACTATTATTGCTGCAGTTGCTGCTTCTATGTGTGCTACGATTGCTGAAGCTACTACTGCAGCTATTACTTCTTTTGTTTCTGTTGTTGTTGCTGTGCTGCTTTTCAGGCGCGGTAACTACTGCTAGCACTGTTGCTGTTACTGCAAGCGATGAAACTACTGCTGCTACTGCTGGTATTACTGCTGCCATTTCTGCTTCGCTGCTGGTCTGCGGCTATATGCAGATAATTATTTCTGCAGCTATCCCCGCTGCCGTTGCTGCTTCTAGTGCTTCCGCGATTGCCGCTGCCGTGACCTGTTGCTTCTGCGATTGCTGCTATTGCTTCAACGGTTACTGCTGCTGCTGCTGTTCCCGCAATTACTGCTGCCATAGCTTCTGCCAGCTACGAGTAGGGGTCAGGGTTGTAGGGTTGAGGATCAAGGGTTGAGAGATTAGGGTTGAGGGCCCTCGCAAGTTTGGTTCAAAGTAGCCATAGTCCTACCGATTGGTCCATCTGCTGTTCAGTAAGAAGGCAATGTTCCGCTTCACTAGCGGGTGCTACTTGGTCATAATCTTTACTTTGCAGTACTTTGTATTTCTTAGTAGTCAGGTGTAGCAAGTAGTAAGCAGCTGCTACTGTAGTACTTGGTCGTAAACGAGTCCGTCGTGCCATGGCTAGCTTTCGTTGCCCTCGTCTCTGTCCCAGCTTGCAGAGCATTGCAAACGATCCAGCAACCTGACAGCTGCTGGCCTTCTCCTTCGCAATTGCAAAACAACTGACTTTATTATACATCCTTAAGCATTCCTCCAAAAAGAACTTTGGTTTCCTGCGGACCGATCAATCTTGAGCCCGCCTCGACAGCCTTGGATTTCTGTGATCTGATGAATGTTGATCCCCCCTCCCCCCTCAGTCCGTGATACAATCCATCTGTCGCTGGATTGCAAACAATTTCTCAGCTGCCCCCTTCCAACTCCCCGCCCACCGATGGCCCGACCGGCTTCTGCACCCGTTGTTCAGCAAGAAACCCCGAACCTGAACCTGCCCCTTCGCACCTCAAACGGCGCGTGGAGATGGGCCAGCTCATAGAGGAGGCAGCCTGCAGCCCACATGTCGGAAGATCGCGAATAGCTGGGCAAGCTGCCAGATTCGCGCCCAAGTTTCAGTCTTGGGTTGCTGGAGTTTAACGTCCAGGTTTGAAACCTTGGGTAGGGCTGGGGCTCGAAGGTCGCTATCAGCTCAGGCTTTTGGGTAGCATGCTGTTCACCTGATCCCCAAGATTCCCTGAAGCAGGCTCATTCCTGCTGCTGCAGGATTCTGCCAAGAGCGAATCTCATCTGCAGGAGGGGAACTCCTGGGGCCCCCCTCATATCCCTTCATACGCTGGAAGGGCAAACCCACCCACCCCGCCTGTCGGTGCTATCTGCGAAGAGCACGCCCTCCCCGGGGCCTTGCCACAGAGCTTAGTTGAGGCAGACCTGGCAGCAAACAAGGTAACATGGCAAACGACTAACTTGTACCTAGAATATGAGAGTAGCCCAAGCAGACCTCACGCTAGTTGCACGTGTTCACAACATTTGCTGCTAGCAAAGTTTTTGAGGTATTTACTACAGCAGTTTCCATTTACTGTAGCTGCCAGTCCCATGCCTGCTTCTGCTTTTACTGGTGACGAACTGTTTTGGGCGATCTTGGACCAGCTTTGTAGGACGTCATGTGGCTATTTGCTTTGCTTGGAGGCCCGGTGGGTCAGGATTTGGAAGGAGAACATCTCGGCTTGACGGAGCCAACGCTGAAGGCTCAGATCATCTCATCTGGTGGCTTCTTCTCCGTTTCCCACAGTTGCGCTGTGTGCGTATACACGCCTACATAAAAGCAACCCCCGCCTTGAAAAGACGCCTTGACCTAGATGATTCAGGGTCTTTTGCAGAAAGCAGTCCCAGGACGGGACGTGGGCCGCGAGCTGATTAGGTGAACGCGGTACTTACCATACCTTGTAAACATTACATGGACGTATCGGCCAGGCTGGCGTCTTTCCAAGCATAGTGATAGTGAATAGTGTTGCTCAGAGCCCATCCTGTCCTACATGAATGGAGCACAACATGACACAACGGTGCTATTTCCAGAGCTTGCCACTCAGGGCTCCGTGAGAGACTTCTAGCACACCCATGCCCTCTCCCCATGAGACCCCTCGTGCCAACCAAAACAGGGGCCTTCGTATGTAGTCAAAAAAACAAACGGAACCTCCGAAAAGCCCTAAACCGCTCCATCTTTAAACAGGCCCGGCAAGACAACAGAGACGGACACATTGTCGCCTCCCGGGACCTGAGGCGATCTGCGAACACGCTGCGGAAAATTTAAGTTCAAACATACGTTCATGGAAGCTGGTGGCCCGTTGAAGACTTCAGTAAGAATCCTTGATAATCCTTGTGCATCTTTCTGTCAACAAGAACTCCCCTTAAAGAGACCACTCATTCTCTGTCTCTCTCTCTCTCTCTCTCTCTCTAAGGCACATGGTCGTTTTCAGTCATGGGGTGGGCCCCACATAGTGCACCTCAAAAAGAAATGGAGATGGTGCTTTCTTGTCGAGTGGGCAAGGCCGCTCAGCCTGCGGAAGTTCCTCCGATAGCGCGCAGCTACTTGGAGTCATGGCTCGGGTGCTGTAGCTCATGCCAGCTTGGCCTGTAACTTGGAAACTCTCTGCAGGTGGCTCACTCAGAAACTGTGGATGCCAACCCTTCCGGATCCGCATCTCGAACATCATGGTCCAACAAACTAGAAGGGGTGGAACTTGAAAGCAAACTCAGTGTGTGTGTGTGTGTGGTTGGCTTTTGCTCGGATGGATTGCAGAAGATTTGTTGGGGACCCTATTGAAGAATCACTCACCTAAGCCAAGCTAAACTGAATGGCAGCCCACATATGAAGGGACGAGGGCGCTGAGTCGCCAGCGCAGTTCTTCAAAAGCGTCTCTGCATCCTGCGGTCGGGAAGGTTTCAATGCCATGGGCTCAAAAGGACTGGAGCCTGCAAACTCTTGAGAGTCAGCACAGGCACCCGTTCCCAAGCGGAAACGATGCCACCTTGGCAACTGGCGGGGCCTTTGATTCATGTGACAATCCTACACCGCAGGACCTGAAGCTCCCACATGCTGCGAACACACGCAACACCATGATTTTTCTCTTATGGCAGGACAGCCCAAAAAAGAAAAAAATGGAACCTTGATCCACATCGGGCCGGTATCCCTATTCACTACAACGCAGAAAATACATCGAGGGCCAAATAAACTCGTTCAAGGGTTAGGCTGGAGTTGGCACCCCAACATGTCCTCAAGGAGCTGCTCGGATCTGCGGAAAGCGTCGACGACCTGCTCCAGGTCCACTGAGTTTCAGTAACCCTGCACTTCTCAGCTAACAGTGACCACTGGACCACTTCGACGACTCAGGCAACAAATGGCAACAGCCACAAATCTGCATTTTGCACCTCCTGGTCGGTCTTGACATTGAAGATGCCATCCGAGCCTAGGACAAGAAACCTGCCAATTCGTGAAGCCGCCAGTGTTTCGAGACTTTTGGTATCTCTGAAAGGCTGATCGGGGTGCCGGATTCGGACTCGGAAACAAAAACCGCCAAACCCCAAAACCCTGGTCCCGCAAGCCGTCAAGACAAGCTCCTGCCCCCCCCCCCCCCCCGAAACCACGAATCCTAAAACCATGTTGTCCCGGACCTTAGGTATGAACACTCCTTTCCCCCGAAACCCCAACCCCTAATCCTTAAATCCTGCACCGCATAATGACCCATCCTCGAGACGTCTCTCGCATCCCGACTTTACGGCTACCCCCTAATTTAATTTAAGGGTTCCAGAAGGGCGGCTTCGGAAGAACCCTGTGAGAGTTTGGAAGCCAAGCATTTGCACTAATGTTTGGGATAATGCGAAGATTTTCACCAAGAAAAGGTGCAAACACTCGCAGTAAAACCAAACTCGACAAGTCGAAAACTCCTAATTTTCACGTCCGTTCGCCAGGCCCACATTCGGAAACTCTATTGATTTTTTTCGCATCGGCGCGCGCCTACGAAAACACGTTAATTCTGGCAACGGGTTTGGTTGACACATTTGTTCACTCGTCAGACACAAAAGCACAGACAGCAGATTGCGATAGCCTCCCAACGATGAAGCTTAGGCACAGCCAGACTATTCTCATCAAGTTCTCCCACTTGCCTTAATGACCTTACCGTAGCTTGCAAAGGCTTCCTTGAAGAATCTGTGCCCGTCTGTTTGGACCCATGGTTCCAAGCAAATGACTTCACCGCCCCACTCTTTGCCGAGCTTGGTCGTGCGAACTCTAAACCACTGCGGCTCCTACAAATGACAGGTTTCGCTTGCAACCGGAGGCCCCTTTTCCTGAAGATCCAAACGTGGCTGGTCGGCTCATCTTCTGGGCTGCGATCGTGGATGGTGATGTCCGGGATTGCGCTGATGAGACCCTGTGACTGGAGTGACTGGAAACTCAGCTGACAACTCATATGGTCTACATCACTGCAGCACTTCTCAAGCAACAAGCCTTAGCTGCCCGCCTTGTATTCGAGGTCGCCTAGGGCTCGGGACAAATTGAGGTCGCCGTTCACCCTCCACTGCCCAGACCTTTCAGCAGCGTCAGCCCCCAGCAGCCCACGGACGTGTTGCTAGCAAATGCTTTTTGCACAAATCATGTACTGGGCCTAGATCCCACACCACATGATCCGCAAGCTACACAATATGAAGCCACCACGGCAAGCTGTGATCTCTTCTGCCTCTCTGCACATGACCGTCGCTACCCTTCCAAAGTTGCAGCTAGCTGGGGTCGCCTGAATTGCTCCTGAAAGCTTCATTTCTGGGCTGCCAGGCCGCCACGTTACCCACCCACCGGCAGCCTGCAAAATGCTTGGAAACAAAGAATCTGCAAGGATCCCATGCAGAACAAGACTTGGCCTCGATCCGCTGCTTTTCAGCAGCATTCTCTGGCTTCTGGTCCTGAGGGACGCCAATGATAGGACTTTCAAGCCTTGGGCACAGAGGGCAGCCCCGGTCCTTCGTCAGCGGAATGGCCCGCCCACCACGGCAAAGCACCGCGCGACTGGCAGCAGGTGCGCTTTACTAAAGGCCCTTGGAGCACTGGTGTCGCACAAGTTTCTTCAACAGACAGCTGCTTGCTTCAATGCCACAACAGGTTCGAGAAGAGCACTTGATGAAAGCAATCGAGTCACGTTCAAACCCTCAACTGTCGACAACTGGATGCTAGTCTGGACGGCACCTGTCGCCAAGATTGGCCGTGATGATCTGTGTCTCGGTGATGCAGCAGATGCATGCGGTGGAGCCACCCTCGGAGCGTTCAGACTTGGAGATGCCGGAAGCTGCGCGGGGAATGCTGTGATATAGCTTCATCTACTCATGCTCTGCGCGCCCTCTGCCGCGACGAGTGCTTGGGCTGCATCTTCAGCTGTTGGCGCCACATTTATGCTTGAGCCTCTGAGCTTCAAACAGTCGAATGGTCGCCCAAACCCATCCCTATTGTGCTTAATGCAACGGTTATTTACATCATCAAGCGGCTACAGATTACTTTCCAGGGTTCTTTTCAGGGCTACATGTTAAGGCAGATGTGCAAACCTCACCAACAGCTCTACTTCAGCAAAAATCAGACAACTGACATCAAGAACACAAACCCCTTGTCCAAGACAGCTGCTGGCACTGCTTGGCTGTCGCCAAGTGGTAGCAGCTTCGCGAAACGGGCCTCACCAGGAGAGGGCAAAGCACAGGACGCTTACAACATAAACACAATGGTGGTGTAGCTGCCACAGGGGCACTCAGAAATGGAAATCTCCAGGTTGGGATATTTACCGGGCTAGAAGCGGAACGTAGCAACAACGAAGCAGAAGCTGGTCCCACGTTGCTATCACCAATGCCACACATGCGAGATGAACAAAAGAGGACCCTTAACAGCCTTCAGTTTCTCCAGGTAAGGAGAGGGCACGCATCTACCGCTTCGTTTCCATTATGCTGGAAAAGGGGAATTGCAGCAAACAAGGGAGCAACCAGGTCTGGAAAGAGACAAAGAAGCATCTGGAAGGAAATTTCCTTGGCAGTTGCAGCTACTCATGCCCTGCCAATCCCAACGAACCAACAGGTGTTTCCCTTGAAGCTCTCGAAAGCCCTGATCCAAATACGGCTTCATAGACAGGCCACTACGGACCACGACAAGGATCCCAAACCTTGAGGAAAACACAGCTCACTTGGATGGCTGCCGAATTCGGAGAGGGAGGGTTTGCCAACTGCTCGAGCTCATCGACATGCTGTCCTGAGCTTACAAATCTATGCCCGCTGGTGCATTGCATGAAATCAAGTAGAGTGTTCCTGTCTACCCACACTACGCCTATTCGCTTGAGGCTGGCATGTAAAAGTGGAACAGAACCGCCCGTCACAACCTCTACCCTATCCCATCTGGAGAGGAACGCTGAAATTGGACTGATAATCCGAGGCAGCGACCGCCCTCCAACATTTGCTGGATCCTGCTGAAGGCTCCTGCATTGCTGATTGAGTGCTGACACATCTCTGCCCCCAACGATGCGATTTGCCAGCGCGCGTCAACGGCAACTGTTTGAGCAGCTCAATCTCAAACAAAGGTTCACGGCAGCACGACGGCAGCACGAGCACGCAATCCAGCCAAGTCCAGCCTCGCAGGGCTTCCGCCAGCTCTGTGCCCTGGTGTGGGCCATCGCTGATGGGGAACTTGACGAGTTCCTGCAGAAAGTGAACATGGCAGACGCAGATCTCAGAAGCGACGACACCGACGACACCAAACCCTCGAAGGTAACCTCACTCTGAGAATATACAAGTTGCACACACTGACCCGTAGCGCAACACATTTAAACTGCAACTCTTTTGTGACTCAAGAAGCCAGCCAACTTTCCAACATCTGCTTCAACTCAGTATGGTTGCTACCCCGCTTGTCTCCTGCGTTGTCCGCCATTTTCTAGCGTTGGATCCACACCGCCTTCCCGTCACCCTGCCATCGCTCCTCATTGCTGCTCCTCGTCCCTGTCCCTCCCTGCCCCTCCTTCGACACAACACGCCCCATGGCTTACCGACTGGTCCTGGAGCCCGAGCCGGTCAGGCGGCCATCTCTTCTTCATTATATCCCCCCCCACAAACCCACGAGAGAATACGAGAGACGTCGCCGTCATCCCTGATGCTTGCAGGGTCCTCCGGCAAGCGCTTGCTGCAGAACCTCGCGACCTGTGACAAACACAAAAAAAGGAAAACAAAAAAACACCCACCAACAAAAAAAGAGATGAGTCTTTCCTCGTCTTGAATGTTGTTTGACCCAGCCGTGATGCAATCATAGTTGGAATCTACAGAAGCTCAGTTGAACAGTCCAGGGAGTTGGTGAGTCCGACAATCGGGAGTTGAAGGGTCGTATGCGGGGGCTGTGGTCATCCCCTCCCCCCCCCCCCCCCCCCGGCAAATTTGACAAAAGCGTTGAGGGATGTCCTGAGACGGTGGGGCCCAAAATGCTGTCGACGGACGGCTTGTTCCAGGTATCATGCGCGCATTCCATAGGGCTTACAAAAAGCTGCCCTTTGCTCCTTGCTCCCCCCCCCAAGTCTGCCCTATCACCAAAGAACAGGGCTAAAGACAGGTACCCAATTCACGAGCCAGTGCGTGTGCGCGTGTGCGCGTGTGCGCGTGTGCGCGTGTGCGCGTGTGCGCGTGTGCGCGTGTGCGCGTGTGCGCGTGTGCGCGTGTGCGCGTGTGCGTGTGCGCTGCGTGCGCGTGTGCGCGTGTGCGCGTGTGCGCGTGCGTGCGCGCGTGCGTGCGCGCGTGCGCGTGCGCGTGTGCGCGCGAGCGCACGCGCACGCGCACACACGCGCGCGCGCGCCGCGCGCGCGGGCGGGGGCGTGGGCGTGGGCGCGGGCGCGGGCGTTGGCGTGGGCGTCGGCGTGGGCGTGGGCGTGCGCGCGGGCGTTGGCGTGGGCGTGGGCGTGGGCGTGCGCGTGCGCGTGTGCGTGTGTCTGTGATTGTGTGTGTGTGTGTGTGTGTGTGTCTGTCTGTCTGTCTGTCTGTCTGTCTGTCTGTGTCTGTCTGTCTGTCTCTGTCTGTCTGTCTCTGTCTGTCTGTCTCTGTCTGTCTGTCTCTGTCTGTCTGTCTCTGTGTGTCTGTCTCTGTGTGTCTGTGTCGGTGTCTGTGTCTGTGTCTGTGTCTGTGTCTGTGTGTGTGTGTGTGCGTGCGTGCGTGCGTGCGCGCGTGTGTGTTTCTTGTTGTTTCCTTGGAAATCGTTATTCCTGTGCCCCATTACTAGGACGCCGATGAATTTTCGTAGGGTTCTTACGAATTCTCAAAGGATTAATTACTTCTAATTCGGTCGAATTCTTATTGATTTAAAGAAGGATTTCAACAAGGTTTCAATCTATTCACGAAGGTTCTTATTCGCCTCTTACCGAGAGGCGTTTGAAACAAGCAGACCAGGATCTGGTTTCCTTCCCCCCCCGGCCCCCCCCCCCCCCCCACCCCCCAGAAAACCGCCGGAGGAACCTCCCTCCATCAACCCCCTCCACCTCGTACCTCCTGAACTCATGACGTGCGTGGTGCTACACCAAAGGCACATATGACTTGGCTTTCCTTCGTCTGGGCCAGCCCGTCTGCCGCGGCGGCGCGTGCAAGCGTCTACAATTCTCTTAAAATATATTTCATATTTACGTCACTCCCAGAATACCTTCGTTTAGGACTCACGTGTATGTGTCTTTCGTCTCTCCCACTAAAAAAGCTATCTTCCCAAATCAACATAGCAAAATTCCCAAATGCACACGCGCTCATTCATTTGGGAGTTGCTTATACCGTGGCCCAACACGTGGAAACTCAGACCTCCGTTTTGTTGCGACATTTGCGACCATGGCTGTGAGGTTGAAGGCCCCACCTGCGCCCCACCGTGCCCATCCAGGACTCCAAAGATGGCAACCTGCTCCCAGGCCTGGGCAAGCAAGCCAAGCTTGATCCCAAAAACACTCCTGTGACCTTCCTTCGGTCCTAGGAAAAATCGGAGAATTGCAGGGTCTACATGCGGATAAGACAGCCACATCTTGACCTTCGTGTTCTTCCAATTGCTGGGAGACACGCTGCTGTGTGCAACCGATCGGAAGCGCGAGGCGCGAGATGGCAACAATGAGGCAAGCGCCACGCCGTTCAAGTTGCTGCAGGTCGTTGCTTGGGGCCTCGCGAGGGTTGAAGGTTTGGGAGAGGATGATGTAGGCTTGCTGTATAAAAAAAGCTTTACAAGTCTTCACGGGAACAGAATACTGCCTTTTGATCCAGGCACAAGCCCAGCTACCGAGCGGAGAAGATGGTTTAAAGAACGCACAACTACGTAAGCATTTTGCAACTTTCGGTTCGAGAAGTTGGCCTCTTTTCCTGCAGCCGTTCCAATATGTCGGGGAGCCATCAACAAGGCTTCAAACACAAACCCAACGTTTTGCAACGCATGCATGTGGCTTGCGCACGCGCGCGCGCGTGGTTTGGCTCAAAATGGTTCTCGCAGAGGCTCATTAAAGCAGCTACATAGTGTGTACAAATCCAGAGACGGGCAATATATTGAACCCAAATCCAAAGGGCAAGGGCTAGGTAGGGGATCTCAGGCCTGGGTTGAGGGTTAAAGGTCTGGGCTCTAAGCTTGAAACCTTTTTGACCCGCTGCAAATCCATAAGTTAAGTAGAGGATCTCCCCCACCGAGGCGGGTGGTTCCAAAGAACGGAAGCAAGTATGTAGGCTTGCAGCATTGTCGCATTGTGGGACAAGATCCTAGGTGTTATCTGACTTTAGCAGGGCTTCCAAAGGCCTTTTGACCCGCCAAAGGCTTGTCTTAAAGGTTGGCTGTTTGGGGCTCGTAAGCCAGAGGCTAGACACTTGTAAGGTCTTCTTACACAAATGGAAAGAAGAACAAGTAGAATGGGAAGTCACAGACACCAACAAGCATTAGCAGTTATTAATCCTGGTGTTTGACATGTTTTTGTTATACCTAGTTTTCGTTCGTACACATCATGAAGAAGAGAGTTTGCCGTCCTGAGAGGAACTGAGAGGGTGACCTGAAGCTGCATCCCTTCATAGACAACAGGTTTTCGAACAAGCCCTTATGCCTTATGCGCTATCCCATAACCCTATCCATCCTACACAAGACTTCCCTGGGCTGCAACCTTTAGAAACCAACACATTCCCGACGCTCACACACCCACACCAACCATATGACCGATGTAGATCTTCATGTCGAACTTGTGTCACCCAGCCCAATTCGAGCCGGCAGACAAGACGATCCGGGAGTCTTCCATGGACTTTCGCCAGCCTTGCCTTGGAATTTCAAGCAGTCAAGCTGTCCCCTTGAAGCGGCGTGACAGGGGTGGAAAGTGAAGGGCTTTGGGCCTACCTGGCAGGCACGTCTCCGTTGCACTGAGCTCTCAGGTCGTCGGCATGATCTGATTTTTGTACAACATTCCAAGAGGAACCGCATCGGAACTGCCTCGTGCACATTTGTCTGGACATTGGAAGGGCGATAGATAGTTCCCTGCTTGGACTCATAGGGGCACGGGCAGAATAACTCACATAAACATAAGAATGTACACGAGGGATGAAGAGCGTTGGTCAGAAAAAACATTGCAACAATGCAGCTTTCGAGCAGCTTCGATCGCGTGCTTTCAAACAGCCGTGTTGAAGAACACACACACGAAGCGTGCATGTACAGTATCGTGGCTGCGTACAAAGCGAGGCAAGTGTTGGGAGAAAAAACTCATGCGTCAAGTACTTACTCGTCGAACCTGCTTTACACTACCCTGCACGAATGCCAAGCCACAGTTCGGCAGACGCCCAGGCAAGACCTCGCACCAAGGTCTGCCGGTTACGTTCCAGCGCATGTGCCGTACAACAGTTGGCGCAGCAATGCTGAATCACAAGAGCGCAGGACGGGATTCTACACACGATGTTGCAGAAGCTGCACTGGACTTCCCTCCAGCAAACCAACTATACATGGCCAAGCAGCGAAGAGGTCCATCGTTGAAGCCGCTTTCGGAGCCTTGCTCCCTCGTGGGCTTCTTTGCTCCCTTCTTTGTCTTTGCTTGCGCGTTGTTCTTCATCGTCGCCTGCCAGGGCCAACTCAGGTAGATATCACATCAAGGCAAGGTAGTACACTGAATGAAGGCTGATATCGCATCAGATCACACGGCCGCATCCGGGACCTTTGACTCCTTCTTTGGTTCTTTCTTCGCCTTTGCCGGGGCAATCTTTGTCGCCTCCTGCCCCAACTGGCTTTTTGCAACGTGATTGCATACTGAAGCGACGCCCCCAGCTCCCGCCGGCATTCGTCGGAGATTAGCGGCTTAGCGGGCGCCTCAGATCAGCGACCTTCGGACGGCCGCACCCAGTTCAGGATTAGTCGGGACGGGGGGTTGATTGATAACGTAGTGCTTTGGGAGTTAACGACGTTCGGGTCGACTGACACCACAACGACCACATCCTCGACTCCACGGTCGGGTCGACTACAGCTACAACCACCAGCCTGAAATGGTGGCCCTGCCGCGTTTTCCCTTTGGCTCCTTCTTTGGTTCTTTCTTCGCCTTTGCAGGGGCAATCTTTGTCGTCTCCTGCCACGTGCCAACGAAGCCCGAAGCCCGAGAAGTGGCCCTGCCGGGACTTCAGCAACGGATGCGTTTTCCCTGTGGCTCCTTCTTTTGCTCCTTCTTCACCTTTGCTGGGGCAGTCTTTGTCGTCTCCTGCCACAGCTGAGCAAATGATTGCACACTGAAGCGACCTGAGAAGGGGCCATGTGGACGTGAACCTTGCACGGCGCACCTTGTCAGCATCCCCCACCTCCCGCCGGCATTCGTCGGAGGCGTGAGCAGACGCAACCCTCAGATCAGAGACCTTTGGACAGCCACGCATCCAGTTCAGGATTCCCGTGTATGAATTTCCCCCATGGTACATGTTGAGGGAGTTCATGCGGCGAGCCTGACGGGTGAGTTCTTCAATCTGCCACTGCATCTCTTGCAAGCCTCAGAACACACAAGCATGTTTTTCATTCCGCCGGTCTCCTTCTCTGTTTCACGTCGTCTTGCGAGACAGTTCGCAAAGTTTGGTGTCCTTCTCTGCCTGTGACATCGGACACTAGTGTCTGTGGCGCTGTCCCCTTTTATCTTAATCCAGTTACGACCAGCAGCGAGTGTCGTACGCCAGCAAAGAAGCCTGCAATTAGGCGAAAGGCGCAAACCTTTGGGATGTTTTGGGATAGCCTCATCACCTCCCCCTTCATTCCCCCTCTGCTTCCGTTGCCAAACACGAACATCAGCGGGAGTCTAGGAAAGTATCTGTTTCGCGGGAGGGGCTCAGAACACGTCATGACCGGTGGGAGCATAGCCTGCTGAACCTCCGTCCCGTCAGGATTCGCCCCCTCGCCTCAAGCGCATCCACCTTGCGTTGAAGATCGGCCTGACAAGGCAAGTGGCACCAAGCCTGAGCCCCGGAACACAGCTGGAACCATGAGGCCATTCCTCTCCCACATCCAGAAGCAGACCACCTTCGTCGGCTGTCTGGACTTGCGCACCTGTGCAGATTGTGAACTTCGGATGTGTGAACTTAACTGCCAATGCTGGATCCAGTATGTGTGTACTTAACTGCAAGTGCGACGAGGAGGGCCTGTCGCTTTGTATTAGAGACGCTCACGATTAATTACACTCCATCGCGCGCAAGTTAAGCTGCTGCGCCCCTATCATTTGCATCTCTCGTGATGATTCTGTTCCTTGCACATCTCTGCACGTACCATGCGGCTCCTTTTTCTAGAGCCTATTGTTGTCAGCTCCCCAAAACATGTCAATACAGGTAGCAAATTAGTGCAAATCTTGGGCTTTGTCACTTTTATCGCCTGAGCCAATACAAGCCTTCAATGCCTTTTGGTCCATCTTATGACCCTTTCCTGGCACTTGAATCAATTACAACAACGCAGGAACTACTGGAATGACCCCTTCACTGGCTTCTGTTTGGATGCGCCTTGTCTTTGGAGGCGAGCTCTGCCGAAGCGGGTTCCTGGCGATAGCAGGATTGCTCTGTTATGCGCATGTCAGATTCAGGCATGCAACTCGCAGGTGTTCTGCAAACCCCCTGCAGCGCTTTTTTGTCAGGCTACTTCTTGAGGCGGACATGCCATCGCAACTATACCATCACTCCTCGTCAATATTGCAACACGGCAGGATCCTGCCTGCCGGCACGCCCGCGTCCGCTTCAGCAAAGCTGGCGGCACGTTGTGTTTGGCTCAAAAGGGCTCTCAGAACGCACTCTCACGGTTAAGGGACGTCCTACGCTGCCAGCCAGATCGTTTTATCTTCCCGTCACATGCTAGGTTGTGGAGGCAGGCATTGGGGAGATACATGCGGTGCTACCACCGAACATGCTGCTAGCAGTCGCCACCTTTAAATTACGGCAAACATCTGCGAACCGCTGGGGCGCCAGCGTTGGCCGTCACGATCAAGGTGCCCGCATAGTCCTGGTAATGCATTTTTGCGAGTGGCTGTCCAAGGACATATAAATAAATATATATAGATATATATGGTACCCCCCCCTCAAAACCTACCTTTTCATACCCTTTTCTATGTCGAGACGTTATGTTTATGATATTCGAAGCTGGATGTATATATATATATATACATCCGATACGAAATATTAAATACTTAGAGACTCCAATAAAAAATCTCCAGGGCCAGGAGTTTTAAAACTCTTCTTGTGGCTAAGCAAGGAGTTTTAAAACTCGTGGCCCCGAAGATTGAAGATTGAAGATTCCCCAGAACTCTTTCCAGGAATCTTCAATCTTCAATCTTAGGGGCAGGGAGTTTTAAAACTCCTCTTGTGGCTAAGCAAGGAGTTTTAAAACTCGTGGCCCCGAAGATTGAAGATTGAAGATTCTCCAGAACTCTTTCCAGGAATCTTCAATCTTCAATCTTCGGTGGCATGAGTTTTAAAACTCCTCTTGTGGCTAAGCAAGGAGTTTTAAAACTCCCGGCCCGACTACTTGAGATTGAAGATTCCCACAAAGAGTCCTAAGACATCTTCAAACTTCAATCTTCGGTGGCAGGAGTTTTAAAACTCCTCTTGTGGCTAAGCAAGGAGTTTTAAAACGCCCGGTCCTGAAGATCTTTCTTATGGTTAAAAAATATCTTACAAAACTCTAGGCCATGGTATAAAAAAAAATTGAAGCACTGAAAGTGGTTCCATTATATGTGCACAATTTCGACGCGCAGCTTGGGCTGTAAACGCGCAGTTTCCAGCCATAGCATACTCCTCATGTCGGCCGTCAACATGAAGGTTGCGTGCGCGTTTAGGTTAATTGTAATCCTATATGGGTTTTGGGGCTTCTCTATAAAACGCTAAGCCCGGGACCTTTACATCTTAACCCTATAGGGTTTAAAGGTTATGTGTTTCAACTTAATTGCATGTCTTAAACCCTAAACCTTTAAACCTTAACCCTATAAAGTTTCCAGGTTGCAGGTTTCGTTTAATTACACGTCAAGGTTTAAATACATATATCTTAAATTCTAGACCTTGAACTAACGCTTAAAGTTTAAGGGTTTCGGTGTATTTGCAGGTCAAGATTTAAATGCCTATATCTTAAGCCCTAAACCTTTAAATCTTAATCCTACAGGGTTTAAAGGTTAAAGAATTGGGCTTATTTGTTTAATCCTATAGGGTTTCGGGGCTTTTCTTTAAAACTCTAAATCCTGGATCGATAGGGGTTTAGAGTGCCTAAGATGAAACTGGCAGAGCAAAGAGGTTATGGCGTGCACTAAAGCAACGCACAACTTTTACTTGAGCCAAATGGTCAGTTTCGTTCGAGGTTTGTGAAACATGTTGCTGCTGAGCACTCCTGCAAATTATGTTGAGGGTGCTTTAAAGATGGTTCCTATTCTGCCCTTGGCTTCCTCCCATGCGTTGCCGCATTGGAATTCGGCCAGCTGTACTTGGGCAGGCCTTTTTAAGCCTATACCATCTACTCCCCCTTCACTCGTGCAGAGTTTGCAGGCCTAAGCAGTTTCTGCTTGAGACTCGTGAGCGTTGCCGCTTCCCGAGAGACAGTGCCTATTTGCACCAGGCTGCTGCGTGCAAGAACTTGGGCGGCATTGCTGCCTTGCCAAGCGTAAGCAAAAGTGCAAAGCATCACTCCATTTGGAGTAGCTGGAGTGCCGCAGGAAACTTTGCTGGAGCCAGAGCCTTCGTAAAAATATCGGCGCGCTCACGTGCCGAAGCTTTGGGCTGTAGCCTGCGTGGACTATCTGTATGACTGCCGAGTTATCCTGATGACAACTGCAATAGCACCTCTCGGCCAAAGACCTTTTCCATGAACTGTTGCATGGGTAGTGCTTCCCCGAACACTCCAGAGCTCAGTGAAATGATCTCGGCCTCAGTGGTTGATCTGCTGGTCGCCGTCTGCTTTTTGCTGGCCCAGCACAGTGGCCAGAAGGAGTGTTCCCCTTCTATACAGAGTACCATCCCGGACGTGCTGTGAGCATGCTCTACATCAGAAGCGTGGTCGGCGTCCGTGTACAGGCTAAGTTTGAGGCTTTCTGGCTCATCTCCCATGGTGTGAGTGATAGAGAGCTCAGGTGTTGAGTGTAGGTAACACATTAAACGGAAAAGACGTTTGTCGTCCGCAATGCTCCAGCAAGTGACTCGACGGGTAAGGTCTGACAGAGGTTTCATCACGTCAGGGCGTGATAAGCGTGCGAGCCACAGGCTCTTCATCAACACTCTGCTGGCAGCATCTGATAGCTGCCCCCTTGTTTCCCAGTCGCTTGTAAGGAGAGAACCTTCAGCAACAAAGGGCGTTGCCGCCCCTTTGAGCTTCCGGCCCGACAGTTGCTCATATAAGTCACAAGCATTTCGGCAGTAGTCAGACATGTCATATGTCATGACTGTGTTGCCTTCGCGCTGGTAGACGTGCTTCCGCCCTAACACCCTGTCTACTTCACTTGGCGGTTCAATATCTAGGTGCTTTTGGAGCTCTTCCCAGAATGCAGCTTGAGTATCTTTGGGCCCACTTAAAACTATGTCGTCAACGTACAGCGTTAGTAGCTGCCTAGTCTTGGGGAACCAGAATGACGATTGGAACAGTTCGGAGTGTTCACCTCCCATCAAACTCATTACCTGCTTGAACCTTTCGTGCCAATGAAATCCAGATTCTGGGTGCCCGTAAAGAGACTTCCAGAGTCTGACGCAGGGGCGCTCTATTCCTCGGAACTCCGGCGGTGTAAGCTCTCGCGGGAGTTCGACCCACGTGGGAACTTTCGTGTTTAAATCGGATTGTGTGTAGGCCTTAACCACATCAGATTGTGACGAACAGTGACCTTTGATGGCTCCGTAAGCAAGGTTGAAGTTAATACCTACTATTCCAGTGGGATTCACTTTTAGTTCTTGCAGGATTGCCAGGTTGTTCGCTTCATCTCTAATGTCGTCGCCTCTGAAAACGATTCGAGCCTTTAGCTTTCGCAACTCTGGCGTTTCAAAGTGCTTTATGCTCAAGATAGTCATGAGGCGGCCAATATTGAGGGGTTCTTTTCTAGCCAACAAATCCCTGCGTGAAACTACTTCCCTGTAGTCCCAAGTGCCGTTGGATATCAAACCCTTGGCCTCTCCGTCTATGCATTCCTGAGCACCTGCGTGTTTGCCCCAATCCTTTCTATCTATCAAGTGGTGGATGCCAGCGTAAATCATCTCTTGGTCCTTCGGGGGAGTCCTAGGGACATGGCAGTGTGGAGAAGACGGCATGACGGGCATTGCTGCCACTTGTGAGGAGAGGTGCGGGTACAAGCTGTGCACAATGGTTGTGGCCATAGACCTGGTGTATTTGGCAGTTTTTGCAGTTTTGCTTCCCTCAATGGTGCTGTGCTGGAAGCCCGGCGGGTGTTGACAGCGCTTGGTGTTCAAGTTGTCGGCAAGTTTCCAGCAGGAGGTCACAATCCTCCAGGGCTTCTTGTGCGGCGTCCCTTCATCATCCATCAGGCCATGAGCGCATCCATGCGTTACCGCAGTGAACAAGCCATGCTTCTGGATGAACTGGGTAAGCTCAGGTAGAGCCCAACCGCTGCAGCCTTGAGGCCACTCGAAACTCACATGCCCTCCTTGAGCTAAGACAACTTCCGCGACGCTTATGAAGTTCTTCAAGATTCTCCTTGAGCGTTGCCGCTTCTTTCGGAGTTTCTCTCGGAAGCTATTTCCCAAGCGTGCGATGTTGAGGTGCTGCAGTTGACTCCATGGGCCGCAAGGTATGCTGCCCCATAAGTCGCAACCAGGAAAGAGCTGGACAAGCTTCTTTAAAGACTCCGTTTGCTTTGGACACGACATGTCCGAGCTGCTTTCTGTCAAACGGAAGTGGTTGATTTCGTTCTCCTCATTCACCTGGCCTAACATTGAATCAGGCTCGCAGCAAAACTCAAACAAAGTGGCATCCTCGGCACGTCTGTTGCGTTTGACCTTGGTCTGAGAACTCGCGCTGGTAGGGGCCG